CACACACACACACACACACACACACACACACACACACACACACACACACACACACACACACACACACACACACACACACACACACACACACACACACACACACACACATACACATACACATATACACACACATGCACCATCCGTGAAGGAGCGGATTCCGACTGTCGTTGAACAGCATAGTCACAACAGTAAATCGATTGGCGCGCTGCAATCGGCAACGCAGCAATCGGCGTGAAAGGGTGGAAAGTGCGGCGAAGTGATTCGTTAACTCGGGATGGGAGATGTGAGGGCTTAGCCAGTCCACCTCATCTTCCTGCATGTGTCCCAGATAAAACATCAGAAATTGTGTCACGTGTCTCCTCATCTCCATTAATTATTTTTATCTCTTTCATATAGTTCGTAATTATTCTCATATCAGTCAGCAGTCTACTTCTGCCTTAGTTTTACTGTTTCACGTGACGTGATATGTTGCAAGGGACAGAAGTTCTGGCTGTTTCTGTTGGTTTTGCATAAATAACAGGATTAGTGTGCTGACATCTCAGAAAGCACTTTCTTATTTCAAATGAATTATCTCCATTACTTTGCAACTTCTCAGACCAGAAAATCACTTTCAGTTATCGTTATTTTGCAGATCGTCCTTTCTTCTTTTTGGTAAGCCGTTAGATTCTTTCATTAATTCCGTTACTGCTGTGTTTGGTGGTACCATCGATGTATGGGAGAACGAACGAATATGGGGAACTGCTTACCGTTACTGTTCCCGAACTTATTGCGTAGTGACGATCACTCTCCATTGGAAGAAGTCATTGATACTACTAGCGGCAGCAGTACCATGATGAGACATCCCGATTCAGAGGTTGTTTAAACCGTAACGCTTGATAGCTAGGATTTGATGGATTACTTCATAATATGCTGTCATAACTGTGTTATATCGCCCACTATTGACAATTAAAGAACGTTCATTCCACCTGCATAGGATCAGTCGAGAAGTTTCGAAAAGTTAGCTCCCTAAAGGCGAGTTACTGTTCTCACTTCAACTGCTTGTATTGAAGCTAGTGCAATCGAAAGGCACCTGAAATATTATGATTGTACTGTTATAATATATAGTAAGGTATGGAGAGCTGTCTATAATATAATAAAGTTTCGAAGCTGGTATTTGTATGTTCATGTCTAAAGACTTTCCAAAGTTTGTGTAAAAAACTTTGATTGGAAAGAAGTTCGAAGGATTTTTTCAGAAAGGATTTTTCTAATTAGAACGTTTTCTAAATTCTATCATTCAAAGCTTCATTTTTATTATTCATGGAAATGGATTACTCAATGGAGTTCTTTTTTTTTACCTCGTTGTTTTCGCGTTGGTTTATGTATGTTTCTAAATATCATGTCTTTTCCATTAATATTTCATTATTTTTCTTTTTTTTAGGTACAAAGTGTATACACGAATGAACTTTGGAACAACGAAAGAAGGCGGCAAGAATTGTCGATGAAAGATCCTAAAAAGGCGCACGTGTCAGCCCTGCTGGAACAGATTCCTGCTGATACGTATAAGATAGAAGCAAAAATGAGAGATATCGAGTAAATATATTTTTCTTGTATTCTCTTTCTCCTTGACTAAATTATCCTTCAGTATTTGTTAGTGTACTGGGCTGGTTGTAAATGGAAATACATACGTGACAGCGTTACTTTAAATATCAATTTTGATATAATTGATGTTTCTCGTAACGCTGTTGGCTTATTATAGTTTGAAGCAAATCTCAGAATTTTAGATATTTTTACTTTCTTTTCTCTGAGGCAGAGCAGAAGAATGTTTTATGGAAAAATTGTGTCGCTTCATCCTGATTGATTTTTGACAAATTTGATTATCGTTTAATGAAGAATGATTTGAACGCTAGAACGTTTCCATACCCTTCTTAATGTTGAAAGAAATTTTTTTCGATCTTCTACTGACAGCAATGGTATGATTTTAGCAGTTAAAAAATGGGATAATGGTGAAATACATGAGTACTAAATAAGTAATTTTTTGATTTTGATTAATAACATGCTTTTTTTTTAATGCTGTGAGATATAAATCTTGTTCTGTCTTTCAGATGCCCAATTTGTATGGGGGATTTCGTTGATGGCGATCTGATTCGTTACTTGCCTTGTATGCACTGCTACCATAAGGACTGTGTGGATGAGTGGTTGATGCGCTCGTTTAGCTGTCCATCTTGCATGGAACCCGTTGACTCAGCTATGTTATCATCGTTTGCTACACATACACTTCGAGGTTTAGAGACATTGGCTTGTTCTCCGGCTACATCTGGTATACATCATAGTCTACCGCCTACGTAGCTAATTCATTCATTTTTTTTAGTTTCACTTTTGGTATAGTGTTTTTGTTTTCTATTCAAAAATCTCAGAAATTTGGACTATTTTTCTTTTCTGTTCTATGAGATGGTGCAAAAACATGGTATGCTCGAAGTATTCCGAGAGCAACTAGCAGCTTACTGCAAGGTATTATTTTGTGCTCAGTTAGCGAACCTTTTAATCTTATCTTTTATATGTGTCTATGTGTATGTACGTATCTGTATCTGTATCTTGTGTAAAGGATGTAAAAGACTTCCTGCAGAACTAAATCTCTGGCGAGCATCATCTGGCTTGGATTATGGCTACTGAGGAATATTGGAAGCAGCATTTTCCAACATTACTCTGGTATATAACTCTTTGGTGTCGTTTTCAGTTTTAAGATGCTTTTTTATTCTACTTCCTTCTGTTTTACATTATCTCAGAAAAGCTGGAACATTCCTAAATATGGCTTTTTGCTCGTATAAAAATACAAAATTCTTTAGCATTATTTGTTCTTTTAATGCATCGCATCTCTAAAGTTGAGCACTTTTGTACTGGCCATCACCATATATGTCAGGATTGGTCGTGTTGTATTAGTCATCGAAGTTCTTCGGTTTAATCCACTTGTTCAAGTTGTCACTGATTCAACTTCCCAGTCCTAATCGACCGATATATGACGCATCTAAAGGTTTCAAATTAACATTTTGGCATTTTCTACTGAATGTACTAAATTTACAGTTGCTTGAGAAACAGTTTTACAGTTATGGAATTGCTGGCGGTTATCAAAACTGCAAAGGAGTAATAGGTCTTAGCATTTATAAAGGGAAGTTTTCGTCACTATTACCGCAAACTTTTTTTTTGATTCCATTTTCTGGAATTTTAGATGCTTTCCATTCACCTGTCGGGTATGAATGACCAATCATACAGTTTGCTTTTAACAATTTTTGTTTTTTCAATTCATTGGCTTAGTCACATTACCGGTTGTGTATGCTTGTGTTTTATAAGTTTAATTTTAATTCTCATTATTTCCCGAACCATTTATTCTTCCGTCTTCAACATTCGTTTAATATTTAATGTTTAGAGTTATACTTATATAAAATTTTTATTTGATCTTATATTTTTGAAGAATAACTTTGCTACCATCTTTTCCTTCTTCCTTTTTGGATGATTTAAATGGATCATTATACCAAGGAATGGTTTCACAGCAGTTCCACTTTGGTAAATTTTCGTCCAACAATTCCTTTCTTTTGTGAATTTTTTAGTGAGCTTTTTTGAATCTGAACTTTTAGTGAGCTTCCTTGAATCTGCTTTGAATCTTGAATCTTTATCGATTGCGTGTATATGATATGGATGTGCTAATTTTTGTAAAAATTTTTTGCTTAAGTGTAAATAAATGTAAGTATCATCGTTTTATATGCATGTCACGGTTTTATTTGTTTTGCTTTGGATTTCTCGTTTCGGATTTTAACTGGAACCACTTTCGAAAAATGAATGGCGATGCTGGTTTGGGAACAATCATGAAGGAAGTTATCATTTTGTAAGCTGATTGCTATTTGTCTATTTACTAATCTTCCGGTTATTGTTTCTGAGGGAATTATGTCGTTGATTGGGTTTAAAGACATTGCACGCGACGATCTTTGAACCATAAAATTAAGATGATAGAAATTGGGCTGAATTCTACTTCGAATACGTATGTACGTATATCATGATTGTTCATTGGCAAAAGGGAAGTATGTGAACAGGGGCATGAATGCCTAAGAATTTTTTCTTGCTGCAGCTGTAAAGGGTAACAACCTGCAGGGACGAAAGTTGTCTCAAGACTTAAGACTTGAAGCTAGGTTGCGAGGTTGGAGCAGACATATTCTTGAAATTTTCCTCTCACATCGCTCAACAGATCCAGAAAGTAGCGCCTCAGTTTACACACACATACATTACGTATATACATTGTTTCGTACTATAGCTACCACAGCTGCTGTTTTTCCGCATCACTGAGGGTGTTTAGCGATAACAACGAATACACAGAAAACATTTTTCATCCCGAGATTTATCAGTGGGTGGTAAAATCCATCGTGTATTTGATTCATTTTTCCATTCAACCCAACCTTCGTAACCCGTGACTGAATGGTGATAATGAGAATGGATAGAGATGTCAAGAGAAATCTTGATCCGGGTGGACTTAATTATTAGATTGATATCCTTCAAGTTCATCTCTGACTATGGTAAACTAAACCTTGTACTTATGCGTCATTCCAGTTCCTTCTATACCAATGCAGTTTGTTTCAGCTTCAGTTAGAAGAGGTTTCCTTTAATATTTTAATTTGAAAATTCAATGTTTTGTTCATTTTAGAAATCATGTAACGTGCTTGTTTTTTTATAGTATTTTCTGGAACAGATTTCTGAAACGGTCGGGTGATAGTTATAGCAAGCAGAAATGGTATTTTCGAAGGAATTAGGTTACGATCCTGATGAGTGGGAGGAATGTTCAGATTCAGAGCAGTTCATGCTGTTTGGTTTCACCACCAGAATGTTCCTTTCCCTTACTTCTGTTATCTTCACAGTTTTCTTTTTCTGGTTTCTTGAAGCTCGAAAACAGATTGACAAGTCTCACGAAGCGGAAAACCTTCCTCCGAAGGTAATTTAACATAATGATGCTGAATAATTTGCTACAAATATTTTCTCATTTTTAAAATTCCAGCAGAGACTTAGTTATCTTTTGGCACTTTCAATCTTTACATTTCAGGACATGATTAGGGAAGAAGTGAATAAGTTGAAAACCGGCAAGGAGAAATTGGAAAAAGTGGGAAAACTGAGGCAAGCCGAAGCAAATTTCAGCAAGTTTGTTTTGCAAAAAAAATCATAAGTCACAAATATGATGATAAGAATATTGATAAAGAGGATCGTTGCTATAAAATGATCGTTTTAAAACAATTTTTAAAAATTTTTATTGTGATCCTTTGAGGGAAGAAACGGAAGCATTGGAAGAATGGCAGCGGGAAGTGGCACGGATGGAGGAATTACGGTTACAAGATCTATATGAGCATGTAATAGATGGATCCGGAACGATGTCCGAGATTGAAACGGAATCTCAACTTATTGATCGCTTTTTACCTGCTGATCATATATCAATGGAAATAAACAGCGACGAAGTAGAACAGTTTCAGCAACTTCCAAGGCTAGTTTTTTTAAAGAAAGAAAATCATTTTTTAAATCAGGAAAAAAATATTTTGAAAAATAGAAAAATAACAAACAAAATGTCTTGGACAATGTGCCTGGGTTTTCAAAAACTGAAAGGAAAATAAAATTCACTAAAAAAGTGTTACGTTTTCGTTTTGAAAGTGTTACGTTTTCGTTTTTCCGTTGAAATACTGAACCTAACTATAAATCAAAGGTGAGAGGAAGCCTGGCAAAGAAGGAAATTAAGTTAAAAGTGTTAATGTGAGAGGAAGTCTGGCAAAGAAGAAAATTAAGTTAAAAGTATTAATCGGTCCAATTAAGGAATATTTCTTAGGGAAATGAATCAAACGTCTTCACTGATAACACCGAAGGGATTTACCTTTGAAGCCGCAGTTCATTCCTCACCATACACAGAGGATGTTGTCGTCAGCATACAGGTTGCTCATTTTTCATACCAAAGAAATTTTTTGGTAACTTTTTTCATCAAATATACTCATTTTTATTGGCTCAATCTGAATGACTTGCATGATTACAGGATGCAGCAAATACTGTTGTGACAGGCAGCGAACGAGGAAATGGGTTAATTTTCTAATTTTTTTTAATTCGTCGTTTTTTGACTTTTTATAACTAGCAAATAATTTTCCTGATTGCTATGAGTGTTAACTTAAAAAGGTTCTTAAATTGAAAGCTTGCAGGAGCGGTAACAGTACGAATGGTTGGGAAGCCCCAGCTCAATCGGTAACTCTTGAACATTTTCTGAGTATGTGTACAAGATGAGTCAAACTTTATTTGGGACTTTTCTGCATTTTAAAGTTGAAATTTCGCCAATAAATATTTATTATTTTATTTACGATTTAATTGGAAAAGTATGAATTGTTTGAGTTAATTGTGAATACATCAAAGTTGCCACTAATTTGATTATTTAACTCTTTAATTCTTGACACTTTTCAACCATTTTTTTCACATCTAAACTCTATAAATTTATAAAATTGGCTTTCACAAATATTATTTCGAGTTTCATAAAATTTAACTGACTTTCATGAAGTTTGATAAATGAAATGAAAATGATTGATATACACATGACAAGTATAAAGAACAGATCAGATTATATGTTTGTATTCAGGAATTTTTTATCGAACGAGTTCAAGACTTTATTTACAAAGCAAGCGATGCCGAAATGAGTGATGTATTGGCGCAGGATATTCGAACATCGGTGGAAAACGACGATGATTTTGTCAAAGTTTATAAGGATGAGTTACAAAAGAGTGGTATTGGAATATTACAAGAACAGATCATTGAACCGAGCAGACAAACAACTGATACATTAAAATCAACTCTTCCTGATACTTGTATTCAGAAATCACTGGAGCAAAGACAGCAACCAGTGATAACTGAATTGTCATCTGATCAATTATCTGTTGCAGTGGCTGTGGCAGATTATCAACAGCAAGTTAGTTTTCTGAGTATTAGTACTTTTACGAGTCAAATAATTAAGCTTTACTGACGAATGTTTTCCAAACTTTCTTGTTCTTAATTCTGTATGCTTTATCGGTTTTTAATTCTCGACTAGTCATTAGCTCAAATTTCATATTTTTGCACTTTGACCTTTAATGGACTTCAGATAGCAATGTGGCATAGTTATATTATTTCAATCCTTTGAATAGTCTGGATTTTGTTTTGCAACAACTTTATGTCCTGAAATTTTAATAATTAAAATTGAAATTTCATAATTCTTGCTTTAAATTCCACAGGAGCTTTTACGGAAATCTGATAAGGAAATTTTTGATTTTATTCCAACAACAACGACAGAAGCAGTAGAGACTGAAAGAACGTATACACCGATCGCGCAAACAGCTGAGCGAGAATTGATGCTAAAAATTTCCGATAACAACATGATGAATGTAGATAAAAAGCCTATGGCTCCGATTACAACCACAGGACATCAGTCGCTCACAGAAGGAGAATGTAGAAGGCTAGTAGAGGCAGAAATGTACATACAAGATGCCATCGAATATGTAACCAGTGGCATTCGCTCCGAAGTACCCAGTGGATTCATAATTGAAGAGGAGATGTGGGATAAGACAGGTGGACATGGTAGTATCACCCGTGCTCCTGTTATACAACAACTACCCGCTTCTCCGGAAGCTACAAGTCAGATATTCAGGACCAATGAAGTTAGTATTTCGAAGCTTCCTTGCTTGGGAAATCAGTTACTGGATAGATAAATAAATGTATGATTGAATAAAAGCAGTTGCTCCCTCAGTGAATGTTACTGACTGTGTGGTAAACAATTCATCTTATTCATCCCTCATTATTTGGATAGGAACTGTTTATTTGTCAGATATATTTTATGAGCTAGATTTTGAATTAATTTCAATCAATTTCAAACTGATTTTAAAGCATGCAGTTTAAGATATTTGAGAAAGTAGAAGAACCGGTAGAAATAGATGATGCGATGACATATGCTCCGGAGATACAGTCCATTGAAATCCCACCCGATGAAGCAAGTATCAATAGTGAAAATTTGTTGGAATATTTCGACCAAGTTGCTGCAGAATGCACTGATGTCGTTAGTAGTTTTTTTTTTGGTTTCACTTTCTGATTGTTAATTTTTGAGGTTCCAAAAATTTATTTTAATTTTCAAGAGACTTAAATTCTTGTCATTTAAAAATTTCTCCATCGATTATGCATTAGATATATTATTAATGCAAAATGGATTTCACACCATCTTTCACTAGGACACATTTTTGTTTGTAGTTATCGATACCACAGCCAACGAAGACTACTGGAAATGTACCACTCACAAAACCGGTGGAATCATCGCAATCGGTATCTTTACTGAGGAGTTCAAGGAGTTTCACTTCAAGCGGGAGTCAACCGCGGGTATGAATAAAGTATTAACCGCATAAAAGTATGTAGAAAATATGTACTTGAACATCAGTCATGCAGGAGTACCTGATTGGTTGAATTGTTGAAAATTCTACGAAAGATTCATTTTTTATTACAAATAATTACTCCCGTCAATATATGATAAAATCGTGTTAATTTTGATATCTCAATGTATCTGAAATAGTTCGGTCAGTGTGATCATGAAGTGTAGGCACGACAGAATGATGAGATAGAGCACCTGAGTACTAGTTAGATAATCGCTACCTGGAAGCATTTCAGATGAGGAAACGAAGCTCATTGTTAAGTGTACTTGGTGTAACAAGTACACAAGAGATGTTGCTAACTCTAACATCACTTGAAGACTTGTCAAATGCTATGCGTAAAGCCGGTTTACAGTCCACAAATTTAATTTTTGGTAAAAGTTCTAATTTTTAAATGGAAATTAGAATAATTTCGCTGCCTATTGATTAAACTTTATTCAAGTAAATCTTTTCGTATTTAGAAAATTTACACGACGTCCTTAAATTCCCAAACATTTAACTTCATTGAATTTCTATTAATTTTATTGATAAAAACCGATAATGATGACATCATCATG